TCTGGTTCTTTTACCATCTAAAGGCAAGAATTTTCGTGATTGGATTACTTTTTGTGAAACCAAGTTACTCTCTTGTTAAATGAAAAGAGAAAGAAGCTGAATGAGAATTGTTTGCTATCCTTTAGTGTGTGTCAAGAGGTGATTCATGTTTGTGGTAACAAAGGGTTGATCAGAGTCAATAGTCATAGCCCCATAGAGCCCAAGTCATAAGGGTAGTTTAGCACACAAAGGATAAGTTGCATAGGAATGTAAACTTGTCAAAGGACAGCCGCAGCAACTAAAGAAAAAGGTTGTGTTAGATGAATGTAGGAAGGTAGAACTAAGTGGGGATAGCTAGGCTTCATAAATATGAGAAATTGAAGGGAACCAATCAATTGCTATGAAGGATGAATCAGAAACTGAATAATGGAAAGAACTACAGACACAGATACAACAAGGTATGGTACTTGGAAATCAATTTATGGTCCCCTCCCTCTGCAAATCTCAGTACACCTCATAAAAGTCTCTGTCTAGTGAGATACAACAAAGAGATTTTCCTATTCTCTTTTTGGGGTTTACTGTTTACTCAGTTGGGAAAATTTTTGTTACACATGTTGGTTCTATCAAGATGTTGACAATTGCTTTATTGTTGTCACTTCTTTATAGTAATTGACTATACTATCAAACGGGAGGAGAAATGGACTTCGATTTATGGAATAGTATGATGGTATCATGAGAAGGTGAGTCTTAGAGCTACGGTCAAGTTGTCTCGTGTGACTTATAGGTATAGGTCATTGGTTCTGGCTGGAATCATCCATTGATGCTTGTAAAGGTTGCTTACATTACACCCTCTTGGGTGAGGTTTTTCGTTGAATCCTGTGTGAATGCGAGATACTTTGTGTACCGGATTGTCCTTTTTATGATGGTATTATGAGATGTTTCTCTTAAGAAAGGTACACAAATTACAATAGTTGGGGCGTTGTCTAGTGTTTGTAGGAATTTTCTTTAATAGTTAAGAATTAGTAGTGTTTTAAGTTCCGCGTTTATTGTGGTGTAGATTATACCTTAATGCCATTTTTGTTAAGTAAGAGGGGATGGCCTACTAAAAGACAGACCAACTAATGGCTTTTATGGTATCATGAGTTGGAGCTTGGTTGTATTTTTGTTTTCTTTATTGAAAGTTTTGTATTCAGTGTTATAACTTTACCCATGTGGGATGACCGCTATTGCATTATAGGTTGAAGGAAATAAAAATGAAATCTTGTGACTGAACATGAATAACATACTGCAAAGTTGCCATCACCCATATTAATTATTTTCAACCTTTTCCTTTTCCCTCTTGCATTTTCTACCTTCTATCATAATCACCATCATATATAGTAGTCTGTATTTTATGTCAGTATAGAGCAGTATCAGTATGGAAAAGTGTACGTAGTCCAAAATATATTAGTCCAGTTAGGACCTTTTAAAAAATATCCAAAAAAACTTGAAAAAACCTCCTTAATTTGAGATATCATATCCTATGCTTGCTAGCCTTCTATAAGAGACGGTATAATAGTATTTACCAAATAAGCTCTGAGCGCAACTTGAATTTGGGCGGCAGTAACATCCTCAATCAGCTTGGTTGATTTTACGACTACTCTTTCTTGGGTCCGGTCGAGCCTCTCTGAAATTATATTCATGCGTCTCGTCTAACTTGAGTTGTTTCGGCGGGTCACTTTATTATGAAAAGAGAGGTTTCGCCCTTTCTGGCTCTTCTCCATGCTTCAGTTGTCAAGTATGATTTGATATAGTTTCAAAGTTTTAGGCTGGAGCCTTACGTCACAGAGCAAATGTTTTGTTTTCAAACTAGATTCGAAGAATGACATGGAATCGTCTTCCTAAAAATAAGAGTCATTCATTTGAAAAAATATAGTTTTCAATTGGCTGGTCGAATAACCAAAGTTTCTTGGATACTATTTCAGCATTGGTCAATCACCGGTGTTTCCATATCTGAGAATGAATTGAAACAATGAAGTTATCAATTAAATCAATAAAAGAAAGTTGATCCGAGAAGGGGTCTGCTTTGCTACAAGAAAACACAATGAATCAAGAATCTAGAATTAAGACTGTCGTGGAACGAGTTTGAATCAAGTATTCAAAGCACAAAAAGTTTCTTTGATACTAGCATATTCCAGGATATAAGCATTGGATGAACCAGTATAGAATATATTACCTAATCAGGCCACTCAATTTTCATGATTTCTAAAAAGTGAGTGAATATTCATCAGAACATAATGTAGTGTGTCAAACCTGAGGAGAAGGAATAAGGGATCTTCTGCTTTGTTTTAATTGATGTTAGCATCAAAATTGGAAAGAAAGAAACTATTTTCCTTTCTCCTTTCTTTTGAAAAAAAAAATGGTGGAGGAACAGAAAAAAAAAGATTGAGAATGAGTTTATCTTTTTCACTAAAAACTGACATCAGATTAGAACTACAGACTAGTTGAAGGATTGAGAATCCCGTTAATGTTTTTCCCTTAATTCAATTCCATGAAAATCAATGTCTCATCCACTTTCCACCTTCATAGAAATAACACAAAAATATGGTCCCGGCGGGGCTCGAACCCGCGACCTTCGGCTCATAAGACCAACGCTCTAACCAACTGAGCTACGGGACCTTAATTTTCCAGTTTAAGGAAAAGCATAAATTTGATAATTATTATATTAACTTTTAAAAATCGAGATAACAACATTATGAGGCTAATCATAATACAATTGTAGTAATAACACCAGAATGTGAATATTCAACGGTTGCTGCAAAAACAGTCAAAACCTTCTCCATAAAAGACTTTTCGTCAAAATAAGACTTGCTAAAGGTGTAAGAAATTAGAAGGGGAATAGTTTCTTCTTATTATGATATTCACTTTTGTTTACCCGAAAAACAGATAGAGTTGAATTTATACGTAGTTTTAAGCAGAGGCGGATCCAGGATTTAAATCATGTGGGTTCAATTTTAAGATTTTTAACATTGAACCCATTATATTTTTAAAGTTATGGGTTCATATCTACTATTTTTGCAATTTTAATGAATTTTTACATACAAATTTTTACTCCGCGTCGAAAGTTATGGGTTCAGTTGAACCCGTAACTAATACGCTACATCCGCCTCTGGTTCTAAGGATACGTGATATAACTTGATGCAAATTGAAAAAATAAGTAGAGATATATCGAATATTGATTGTAAAAAGAAATGAATACAAACTCAAATTGAGTAGAGAATGACCGATAAATAAACAAGATTGAATCAATATCCAAAGCCCCAAAAAGAATAATATTTGCTTATTTGTGTATAAATCTCAATAACCCCTAGATGCCAGAGTGTATGAATGTCTGAATGGATCCCTTTCACAAGCGATAGCCACTCTTAATATAGTGGATGAATTCTACTTTTGAGTATAATTAAAAATATATAGTGGGGATCCCATGATAAATTAGTTAATTAGCTTTTCCTTAATTTCCGCTGAGATTCTCTTCCCTAATGCGGCTACAACGGTTCTTTGTCTCTTGGCTCGCTTTCAATCTGGGTTGGTCTCGATATTGGTCGGTCTCTGGGTCTCGAGTTTGATATTGGCTCGAGCTCGATTGATCTCTGGGACTTGAACTCGATATTATAATGATGATCCTCGGCCTATCATGCTCCAATCTTGACTAATTACACGAAGGGCAAACTCAGTTTTGACCGTATACAACTTTCCTTCTAAAATAAAACCCATGCCACAAAATTGCTTTTCTTTTTTCTTTACTTTATTTTACAGCAATTTTTCTTTATAAAAAATATAAGCATGTAGCATAGCCTTTTTTCGTTTGA